TAACGAGCATCACTAATCCAAGATATGGAAGTATGCACCGGTATCAATTTCCATTTCAAAGTCCATTGAATCAATTTCTACTTTAACCACAAATGAATTAAATACCTTCAAAATTTGCTCGGATGTATAAAACAATTGTTCCACACTTACTCCATAATTTAAACCAGCTTCCTCATTTTCTCCATCACTTTCTTCCTCTGTGTCTTGTGCATAACGTACCGGTTTTCCTTTCATTTTGCAAGCCTTTATCAAATGTCTTTTTTTTCCACATATTTTGCACGAATAATCAGTATATTATTTCACACTTTCCCAAATGTTCATTGCCACAACATTGACAACATTCCTTAGATTCCTTTGTTTCATCACAGCTACCCCTTGGTTCACTCCTTAATACATTTTTTTTCTCATTTAAACAGTTTTCTATCGTAATGTTTTTTTCCTTGACTTTATTTTGTATAATTGCATTCTCTGGACTGCACCTGCATCTCTTTCGCTTCTTTTTCTACCAATTCCAGACTTATTGCCACCATAAATACAGTATCTATTTGCATAAAAGTATCAAAAGTTAAGACAAGTAATTAAATTACTACAATGTGTACAAACATAGACAAAACAGGATGCAATAAAGTTATATGGTGGCATGTTTTAGTTTAAAACGGTACATAACAAACAAGCAGTAGAACTTAAAATTCGTCCAAGAAAAAGGATATTCGCTCTTAGATGGTAATTACCTTATAGATTAAAACAATCTGGTACATTTCCAGTCTCCACTTTGTAGATACATATCTGACACGTGAAACACAAATTTATTAATGTCCTGATTGCCACGAACAATTTCAAGTTAAAGTAATCACATCAAAGTGAATGATTTTCATTGCTTTTTAATTATAATAGTTTAGGGGTTTTGTTCCAACAAGGACAATAAATCAGTCAAAACAATTCAATTTTATTTGAATTGTTCACGATTTGGGGCTTTTGATTGAGCGAGAAACTGATTGATTCTGAGTTAGTGAATTGGATCGATCAAATCCTTGGTAACCACTTTGTAAATCATACCTGATTAAGTTTTAAGAAATTTGAATGATTTGCATTGATTTTAAATTATAATAGACAAGGGTTAACTCAAACAGGGGCACAATTCTTGAAAAATATCGCATACAAAATTTTAAATGATTTCGAACGCTTACCATTTAATTTACATCAATCAAATTCGAATCAACTTTCATATGCGAAATTTTTCAAGAATTGGGCCACAGGAAATGATAATCAATGGAACGATTTGATAATCTAGGCACTATTTGTACATTTTGATTATGTAAGTAACTGATTGATTTGATAATCTAATCCTTGGAAACTTCAAGAATCATGCCTGATTCATTTCGAGGAAATTTTGGCTGATGCTTTTCTGCTTCTCAATACCAAAGGAATAGGTAAGTTTGCTTCAGTAAGAATCATTATTTAGTCAATACAAGTATTTTTTTCTTAAATGAAGAGACTTATTGATTAATTATCTTAGCTGGTTCAAGTCGATATCCTAAACAATGGACCCTGATAATTGATCTAATTGACATTGTAGTAGAAAATAATAATATATTTATTTAGCTCATACCTCTTTTACAATCATATCCTCACGGATTTTTTCTTAATGAACAGGTCTAAAAATAACAAAATCTGGGGTGAAAATACCACAAAAAAAAAAACTTATTAGGGTGCAGCATAGTTAAGAAGTTGCAACCCTTTGTCTAGCCGAGTCTAGCCGATCGATGAATTGATTATTTTTTGCAGTGCAGAACTTCCAGTTTATTTGGGGTCGAATCAGTAAAGCCTAAAACGAATTAACAATACTGTAACAAACAGTCGTGTTCTGATTGGCTTCGCTGCACCCGCGTTTTAGTTTGTGTCCCTAAACTGTCGGTTTGTTTATCAAACGTGTCGATATACAGATAAAATTTTATGATTAATTTGTTAGTTAATCCTCCGCTTGTATCGATGCAGTGTGAAATAACTGAAACCGGTGTAAACGAGGAAATTTTTCGAACATAAATATTGGTCCAAGGCTCAGTGTTCAATTAAATTTCACTTCAACGACCAATAATTAGTGCAACATTCAGCGTGTTTCAGTTCAGTACTTTGTTTAAGTTGCATACTTGCTTCCCTAAACTTATAAGTAAAAATGTTGTCTTATAGTTATTTTTATATTTCGAAGAGTTTATATTTCTTAAAGTGATAATAGCTTCAGTGAGTGTCTTTAAATTACTGTTCAGTTGACTAGTTGACATCCCTAATCCTAAAAAGTTTGAAAATATTTTTGAATCCATGGAATGCTCAGTTAATGTGTTCGTATTTCGCTCAGAAAATGATATTTCCTATTGAAAGTGTCCAAATTAGACCACCCTGTACATACTTAGTAAAAAATGAGTAAGATTATGAAAAAAACAATCAGTTAACCAAAATTTGAAGTATTAAAATTTAGGAGACTTTAAAACAATTAATTTTTGGAAATACATATTCAAGAATATTTTGGTTTGAACAATTTTATATTAGGCATAAGTTTGAACTAAAATGAGAGCTAGGTATATGAAAATTCGAAATTGAATTCAATGAAAATTATAGGAAATTACCTACTCAATTAGTGAGCAATTCCATATTACGTTAACAGAACTCGTTTATTAATAAACCTACAATTTTAAATTTGTAGTTTTTAAAAAAGGTAACCTGTATTCGGACTAATTATCATTTACAGAAAATTAAATTTAAAATCATATCGTATTATAGATTTTCTGAAAGAGATTTAAATTCTCTATTAATCCACGAAATATTAAAGGCTTTGAGAAATCATGCTTCAAAGTTATAATTTGTTAAAATTTCATCCAAAACTTCAAGTTGAAATTGTTTAAAAACCATAGGTGGCACAAATATTCTTTAAATAACACATTAAAGCATCCACTGAGAGCTAGAATCTCAGAAAAATTCAGCTTGATACCTCATATTATGGTTATCGAGATATTACACATTGAATATTGAACATTTTTCAATTTTTGAAGGTCAAAATTAGTCTCAAACAAGTCTCACATTTTCTCAAAAAGCAGATTTTCCAAAATTGTGAAAAATATACTTTTTAGCCTAGAAAATTTTTGGTGTCATGACATGATCTCAAACATTTGCTCACAGTTTCCGTAATTTTCAACGAATCAACTTGTATTACAGCTTTCCTGAAAGAGGATTAAATTCCCTATAAATCATCCAAATATGAACTCAGTTGCTTTTAAAGTCTTTGAAAAATCATGTTTCAAAGTTAGAATTTTGCCAAAATTTCATCCAAAACTTTAGGTTGAAATTGTTCAAAAACTATAGGTGGTACAAATATTTCTCAAATAACACAATAAAGCATCCAATGAGAGCTACGATCTCAGAAAATTTTAACTTGATACCTCTTTTGGTTGTCAAGATATTACACATTGAATATTGTGAATAAAAAAGTTAAAGGGGTTCCTAAGTACCTACCTAAAAAAAAAACGAAATTTCTTATTTTCTAGTTTTTTCAAGTTTTGACTCTCCCAAACGAAAGAAGAGGTCAAAATTGTTCTGAAACAAGTCTTACATTTGTTCAAAAAACAGATTTAAAAAATTGCAGAAAATATCCTTTTGTCCAAGAAAATTTTTGATTTCCTGAGTCCTGACATGATCTCAAACATTTGCTCACAGTTTCCGTAATTTTCAACGAATCAACTTGTATTATAGCTTTCCTGAAAGAGGATTAAATTCTCTATAAATCCTCCAAATATGAAATCAGTTGCTTTTGAAGTCTTTGAGAAATCATGGTTCAAAGTTAGAATTTTGCCAAAATTTAAGGTTGAAATTCTTCAAAAACTATAGATGGTACCGAGGGTGGTACAAATATTTATCAGATAACACAATAAAACATCCAATGAGAGCTACGATCTCAGAAAAATTTAACTTGATACCTCTTTTGGTTGTCAAGATATCACACATTGAATATTGTGAATAAAAAAGTTAAAGGGGTTCCTAAGTACCTACCTAAAATAGCGAAACTTCCTATTTTCTAGTTTTTTCAAGTTTTGACTCTCCCAGACGAAAGAAGAGGTCAAAATTGGTATGAAACAAGTCTTACATTTCTTCAAAAAGCAGATTTAAGAAATTGCAAAAAATATCCTTTTGTCCTAGAAAATTTTTGATGTCCTGAGTCCTGACATGATCTCAAACATTTGCTCACAGTTTCCGTAATTTTCAGCGAATCAACTTGTTTTAGAGCTTTCCTGAAAGATAATTAAATTCTCTATAAAACCTCCAAATATGAATTCAGTTGCTTTTAAAGTGTTTGAGAAATCATGCTTGAAAGTTAGAATTTTGCCAAAATTTCATCCAAAACTTCAAGTTGACATTATTCAAAAACTATAGGTGGTACAAGCATTTTTTAAGTCACACGTACATTAAAGCATCCAATAAGAGCTAAAATATTCTGTTATCTTGTCCTCACTATTTATGGGCAAATAAGAAAAGGCATTTCGCGCCTATGTATGGAGACTATAGGCTTCATTCTGTCAAGTTGTTTTAGTGAGGCCGTGTTCGTTTTTGTCATCTTTTTCATCGATTTTCTCCGAAATTTTGACAGGCACCTGACAGATCAGACACGGCTCAAATCGAAAATGACAAAGACCCACATATACCAAAATAAAGTTTCTTACCCATAGCGCAATATATTACTGTATTTGGGGTGAAAAACTCAGGCAACCAAAGAATCTGTCTTAAGCTTGATACACAATGACTATTCAAAGTAAAATCTTGACACAATGCTACGATATACACTCCTTTTCTACTTGTACCAATTTTACTTCTGGATTATTTTTGTCCGTAATGTGGAACTCTTTCCGAATGTATTTTGTGTTGCAAATGGTGAGTAGTTTGATCCAAAATCCCCCAAAAAGAAAAGAGCTCTAGAACAATGTATTTTTATTTATATTATTTTTGTTTTGTTTCAGTGCGCCCTTCTAATGAAAGGCCGTATACCGAACAAACAAGACTTACAAAGGACACTGTTTGGCGTTCTACAATCTACAGCCTTTTTGAGTTTCACTGGATTTGGATATAGTTTGTTTTTATGTACTTTAAGGTAAATAATTATTGATAGAAATTTAAAAAAGTATAGTATAACAAATTATCTACTTTCCAGGAAAGTGATGGGTCATTTTAACCTTCTAACAGTATCGTTTTGGCCAGCATTTTTGTCCAGCGCCTTTGCCATTTTAATTGAAAGACCTTCTAGACGGACATTATTATGTTTATATGTCAGTAATGTAGCTACAGAAACAGTACGTATTTGAAATCCCCAAAAAATTCCAATGTCTGAACAAATAAGAACTTCTTAGGTATGGAATATGGCCTTATCCAGAGGCCTAGTTAGAAACATCCCTTACGGAGACATTGCCATTTTCGGTACCAGCATGGCAGTCCTATTAACTTATTACAAAAGCGGTCATCACCAAGACGTACCAGATGCGATGTTCAAAATTTTGAGGTGAGCACCGCTTGTCGACCAGAAAAAATATTTTTGATAGATTTGTCATAGGTCCATATGAGGAAAAGGATTTCGGTGCTAGAGTCACTCACGAGACTAATACTTTTTATAGACAACAAGTGAGCAGTAGTGGTAATGCGCCATCTAGGATACAAGAAGGTATAACTGTGTTTGGTATTTTTGAAAAATCATAATCTTAGAATATTTTTTCCATGGTTCATGCATATGCATCAAATAGATCATTAAAAGGTGTATTGCTATTAAACAAAGAGATCTTGTTGAGAACGCCCAACTCTGAGAGAATCTCCACTTGTCCGGCACAACTTCTTGTCTGTTTAGAAATCTCTTTTCACTTCTCTTAGTATTGTTCTTATTTCCTTGAGAGTTTGATTATTTCTGTGGACTACATTGCACTGACCAAAAGGCGTTTGTAGTTGGATCCCCAACAAAAACTGGGTACCAGTTTGCCATAATTCGACTAACAAACTTATGGTGACAGTGCATCTAGAACCAACTTGGTGAAAAAATATTCTAGGAATCTACAACTCATTGCACATTTTCTTACCTAATTTATATCTAGGTTCGTCACAAGTGCGTAAACAAACCAGCACAGTGTGGCATTTGGTAACCCAAATGCTACGAATCTACAAAAAGCTGATATACAAGGTGAAGTGTTTTGGAAGGCACCAATCTTGTCCGCACCCGTTTAGTTGTTTGTACTATGTTTTAGGGGTAGGTTGCAACTTGCAAAGTTAAATGTGACTTCTTAACATTGTTTTTCAGGGAACTGGAAAAATGTTCAGTGTCGGATTAGGTCTCCAAATTACCCTGAAACTAGTATTGAACCTGAAAAAAATTTTTGCTTCACCCAAAGCTGTTAAGCAAATATTTTTACGCAAAGATATTTTAAATGTAGGCTTATTTTTGGGACTTTACTGTGGTGCTTTTAGAGTAAGTAGACTATAAACTTTTTTAATTGTAGAATATTCACAAAAAAAAATACTTCCAGGGTTCCTTATGCATACTTCGTAGAATATTTGGTAAAGATCATCCTTCTTATGCATTCCCTGCTAGTTTACTGGCAAGTTTAGCGTTTAAAAAGTATCCAGACACAACTGTAGGTCTTTATGTAATGTGGAAAGCTGCACAAGTAAGTTTATAATTTCTCTAGTTAGCACATATAAACAGATATATTTTTTTCTAGATCACTTATAGTATAGGCATCCAAAAAGGCTACGTGCCAAAAGTACCTGGATTCACCGAGTTCTTATATTGTCTCAGTACTGGCATCTTGTTCCACGCTGCTATTTTGGAACCAACTAACTTAAGGCCTAGTTATTGGAAATTTTTGCATTCCATATCGGGTGGAAGGATCGCTTGTATGGCGAGGGAACCTCTGGACGTTTGGGGCCTGAACACCACTGAAAATCTAGCTAAAGTTTTGAAATCGACAAAAACCATTCCTATAGTGTATTTCTGATGGTATCCAAGTGAAAATGAGAACAAAATTTTAATCGGTCTGGGTTAGTATACCAAAGTTTACTCACACTTTGGCTCAAAAATGATAATTTGGGGCCTAATTAAATTTTTCTGTGTTAAGTTTTAAATACGTAATAGCTCTCTTAGTTAGTTTTGTTAGAATTTATATTTTACAGTTAATTGGTTGGTTGGTTATTTTACTTTTTATTGGATTGTTTGTAGATATAGTTACCAGTGTTTTTTTTTTTGTAAAATATATATAGTTTTTTATTGATATTAATATACATTGTGATTCAGACAAAAGGAGTAAATAATATTTTTTGAACATTAAAAACTGTTTATCTGTCTCCATATTTTGTGATTTATTTAAAATGGTTTAGTTCCAGCTTGGATATATTCATACCAGAATCTTGGATATTTCAATAGAACCAATCACAAGGAGGTTGTAAAAGAATAAGAATAGAGAATTTGATGTGTGTGATTTTCTGAAATTTGAAAAATGTCAACATAAAATAATTCAAGAAGACATTCTTTCAACAGGTGCTCATAAATTCTAGAAAATTAGGAGAAAATGTGGATCAGCATAACATCAAAACAGTGGAAAATGGGATAGAAAAAGTCGAGTTCAGTCCAGAATTTGAGAAAATTGAATAAAACTGATAAGTTTGATATGCGAAAAAAGTGAGCGTTTAATACTGACGTAACTCATCTTAGTAATTTCTCCCTTCCCAGGGAAAGTTTTGTAAGGGACGAACAAAACTGTTGGTTCCTCTTCTTTGGGGCTTGTTTCTTCCATTGCTGCCCTCCTAGGGTTGTTGTTTGAAATCCTTTTTTTTCCCAGGTTCCATATTTAATTGTTCGAGTTTGTAACAAACAACTATTACCAGAATTGTGCCTAATGCCCGTATTACATCTGTGTATTTTCCTTGTATTTGTTCATGTAGTTCAGGGTGACAACCGAAAAACTTCAAACCTAACATAAATCAGCATTATGAAAAAGAAAATAATGTTGGCATCCTGAACTACATGAATAAATACACGGAAAAATACACAGATGTAATACAGGCATAAAAGGTATTATCCAGAAGTGAGAGTTACTTGTTGATTGCGTTCCGGCTTTGATTGGTTCGAGGTGTTTTTCTGTGTGAGTTGTTGTGAAGTTCGTCCAGGTTCTGTGTGTATTCTGTGAAGTGTTAATGGTTCTTCTTAGATTACAGTTTTCTCATTCAAGAAGTTTTCACTGGAAGTTCTGAATTCGCATCCTGGTGGTAAACTGATTAAGAAGACTCCTTTGAGTATTATTATCTTGGTTGTTGGGCAACGAGTTGATACTTTCGTAGGCCTAGGAAATATGGCTATACAGGGTGTCACGAAAGGTTTGTTACAAACTTCTAGGGATGGTAGATCTCGTAAAAATAAAACTTTTTTCTTGATAAACATGTGTCCTGAAATGCTTCGTTTTTCAGATATACAGGGTGGCCCAAATTTGAGCCTCATCATTGGGATCTCGGTAACCGTAAGAGATACGGGGTCGGTTAAATTATGGCAAAGTTGCGCAATTTTATGACCAATAGAATACCGTTTTGAAACTAGAAAGATTCCGAATACTTCCGGAGATATTCGGAAAAAACCAAAATTTTGAAAAATCGTTTTTTTTCCCGGGCTTATTTGAAAAGCAATTTTAAAATAAATGTCACTTCATCATTGTCACTTCTTCCCCTTTAGAAGATGGTGGTACTAAATTTGAAATTCGACGTTTCGTCTTCAGGCGGCCATCCTTAACTTACGTTTTTTTAAATACGAACCTATTTGCGATTTTGTCATCTTTGGGCATCCTAAAACCGATACTGTTTATAATTTTTCAATAACACGGTAAAAAAGCAGGTCCGTATTTGAAAAACGTCGGATTTCAAATTTTATACTGCCATCTTGAAAAGAAGAGAAAGTGACAATGGGAATGTGAAATTAGTTTTTCAAAATCTTTTTAAATGAAATCAGGAAAAAATTTAAGAAAAACGAGATTTTTTTTTTTCGTATAGTTTTAATTTTTTCCTGATTTTATTTAAAAAGATTGTGGAAAACTAATTTCACCTTGCCATTGTCACTTTTTCTTCTCTACAAGATGGCGGTATTAAATTTAAAATCCAATGTTTCGTTCCTCTGAAATCATCATTAATTTTTTTTTTTTAAATACGGACCTGCTTTTTTTGCTGTGTTATTGAAAAATTATAAACAGTATCGGTTTTAGGATGCGCAAAGATGACAAAATCGCAAATAAAAAATCCAGGTCCGTATTAAAAAAAAGGAAGTTGAGGATGGCCGCCTGAAGACGAAACGTCGAATTTTAAATTTAGTAGCACCATCTTCTAAAGGAGAAAAAGTGACAATGATGAAGTGACATTTATTTTAAAATTGCTTTTCAAATAAGCCCGGGAAAAAATAAAAACGATTTTACAAAATTTTGGTTTTTTCCGAATATCTCCGGAAGTATTCGGAATCTTTCTAGTTTCAAAACGGTATTATATTGGTCACAAAATTGCGCAACTTTGCCATAATTTAACCGACCCCGTATATCTTACGGTTACCGAGATCCCAATGATGAGGCTCAAATTTGGGCCACCCTGTATATCTGGAAAACGAAGCATTTCCGGACACATATTTATTAAGAAAAAAGTTTTATTTTTACGAGATCTACTATCCCTAGAAGTTTGTAACAAACCTTTCGTGACACCCTGTATAATGAACATTGGATAGATCTTGTATTAACGTGGTGTTGATTGACACAGGTATTTGCCGGCCGTTGCTTAGTTGAAGTATTTGGCTTATACAATCCTGATGGTTGTTATCTTGTAAGAATCCTTCATGACATAGGTATTCTGAATCAATTTTACGGCATGGAACTCCCGTATATTGGAATAAATTTTCGCTTAGGGCCAAATAGGGAACACGAGAAATTATAGGGGTATGATTCGTAGTGGGTGTTGAGAAAATATGGGAATATGTGAAAGTTTCTGGAAACAGAATGGGGAAATGCAGGATGAACACCATGGTGTGGTTTGAGAAGTATCCATCAATGCTAATTATATCATAGTACTTAGGTATTATATCTTCTTCGTAGATATAAGGAAGCTGGATTTCGGAGTAGTGTTCGAGCATCTTCTCAACGGCCCATTTCAGTTCGTCTGGTTTGATAAGAGAGTTATGAAGAGTGGTTGTTTTTGCAAATGTTATAGCTACCACGAGGTCGTTGAGGATTTGCAAGATCACTTGGAGGGCTAAGTTCAGCTGATCTAAGACGTTTTTAGCTTGTAGAAAGTGGGTAAAGTGGAACATGAATTTACTTAGTTCGGAGTTAATTTTGTTCGATTCTTTTTCTATAGTTTCTTCGTTGTAAGTTATAAGCGAGATGGGAGACGGTGTGGTTGAAGTTTTCCATTATTTTGGTGCCTCCGCTAATTCACTTGGCTATGTTACAATGTTGGGATTGCGACGTCGTACTTTTGGGCGTCTTTGTAGTCCAGGTTTCCAGATATAGTTTCAATAACACTGCCGAGAACATTGAAAATTCCTCTTCTGTATCTTTGAATATGAAGCTGCTGTTCTTACTGATTCGTATTATTCTTCCAGATACTGAAGCTGCTTATTAATTACTGGGAAGAGCTCAAAAAAGTGAATGAAGTCGTGGGTATTACTCTAAATCCTTGCTCGTCCCAGCTTGAGAGGAATTATTTCTGGGTTGTCCTTTAGGTCCTGGATCAGGAGGTTCTGAGCGACGGCTGAGGAACATCTGTAAGGAATCTCTAGAGCTATTTTCTGGAAGATTTTAAATATTCTTTTTATGTCTTGTCGTGTCTTGAGTGTCAATGGTCACAATATTTTGTCAGTGTGAACTGTCTTGGGAGAGAATCTTGGAAGTAGTTTGTTCCGCTTTACAGTTTTCCTGGTGTAGATCTTCGTGCTAGGTTTGTAGGCGAGGGGGGTTTGCGTGGGTATCTTTCTTTTTCCTATGTACTTTTGATTCAATTTCCTATAGATAGTCTCCGTTTTTTCCCTGTGTTGCTGGGTATAAGTGTTTTCCTGACGTCAACGTTAAACGGGTCCTGCGCATCCAGGTGACCAGTTAATATATCCATTGGTCATTGAATGGATAGAATTATTGTATTCGAGAAGTGCATGTGGCATTTGTTCTTTAACGCTTAAGGATTTTTTATTTTCGATAATGGTGGAGTGGAATCTTTCTATCACTCCGTTGGAATGTGGGTTATCAGGGGTAGTATGATGGATATGGATATCTTATGTGTATCTACAAATTCCTGTATGAGTCCATTCTTAAATTCTGTTCCTCTGTCGGTGACTATTATATGTGGCATTCCATGATGAGTTATGAAGATTAGTAGGGCATTAAAAACATTCTCTGAATTTGAACCCTCTATGGGGTAGGCTTGTCCATATTTGGAGAAGAAATCTAATATAGCATAATTTGAATTAGATGACCATCCAGCTAATATAATACAATAAACCCCAAGACTAGAAAGACTCAAGAAAAAAAGTACCGAGAATTGTTAAAAACTTTTGCCCTCCGGCTTGAAAGGTATCTAGTTGGAGTAATCATTAATTTAGGTTTCGCTGGATTCCCATCGTATTTATTCGACTGACAGGTGTTTCAAACATTTATGATTTCAATATCTCGTTTGAGGTTAGGCCAGTAATATTTCCTTTGGATTTGCGCTTCGGTTTCCTTATTAATTCCTCGATGATTTGTTTTTCGTTGATGGTAAGCCTGGATTATTTCACTTCTCTTTGTTTGCTGTTGACGTCATCTAGGAGAAAGTTGCATTTGATAAAATCGAATGCAGAATGTTTAAAAGTTTCTTCAAGGATGTTGCATAGAGGAGCATAAAGATCTTCGTCCAGAATATTGCATAGGTACCTACTTCTTTTTGGGGTCTTGCAAAGCGCGTTTCTCTAGAACTTCGTGTATGTCAAAGATTGATTTTGCATTGTTGTACAAAGATGCGTTATTTTCGTCTTGTGGTGGTTGGTCTTTGGCTTGGATTTCGACTCTGTTGGACTGATGGACAGAGCATCTGGACTGGTGTTTGATTTTCCTTTCTTATAGATTATCTCATAATCGCAAACTCTTCCAGCTTCCAGCTTTCATGGAAAAAAGCCATTGGAGAGGACGATGATCTGAAAGTATCTTGAACTTTCTCCCAAACAAGTAGGGTCTGAAGTCTGAAGTACTTGGTGGCCCAAATAGGCCCCTTGCATCAAATTTTTTTATTGCAGATTTCGATAGTCCATGAAAAATAAGTCAACACGTGTTTTTTCTTTTTCTTGTTAGTCAAAAA